TGTGTTGTGAATTTGGCGCTATATAAATAAACTGAATTGAAAATTGAATTGAATTGAATAGCAGACAATTACAAGGATGTAAATTAATGGGTGCAGGCAAAAATTTATGTAATGTGGATGGGTATAGGTGATTTATTTAGCTATATTATTAAGCAGAAAAAGTGTAAATATAGTAAAAAAAGAAAAAAGAGGTGCAAACAAAGGTTAATGGTTTGAGTTGTGGGTTAAACACACAATTCAACTTCTATTCAAATCCCAACCCATATCTAGAGGGGATGGGTCAGGCCTAGTAGTCATCCCAATGGGTTCGGACGAGTTCAGATTTGTGAAACTGGACCCGAGCAGGATTCTTATTGCTTCCTCTAGCTCAACAAATTAATGTGCAATGTTTTTACAAGTTGTTAGAAACTTTATGGTAAGCCTGCTACATAAAGAGGTGGCAATAATTCATGTGTCAATATTTTCATTTGTCTGGTGAGATTCAAAAACATAGACAATAAACTGCTAAATCCTACAAATCCTGTAGTGGTGTATCATTTGGTTTGACACAAATGCACATACCATTACAGCCCTGATGTTTAGAGTATCAATCAGCCATTGTATGAAACAATCACTGGCTATTGAGGATTGTGTTAACCTCCCCTAAACTGCAGTATAGTTTAATATGTTGTTGCTTGCAAAATATCAGCAATGACAACAGATTTCCTGTCTATATTTTGTATTCTTTATTAGGTTTAAGTCTGTGCTTTCACTTGGCCATTTTTAATATTAATATCCTACAAATTAAATGAATTCATGATTGCACTAGTTGTAGGTATAAGGTTATAATTGAGATAAAAAAAACTGACCCTATCCCTGCTAAAGAAAATAATCCTACTGCATGATGCTGCCACCATCACTTTCTGCAAAGAAACAATGGTTCCAGGCTTGTGCTGTTTTTTTCCTGATGTATTGGCTTTTGTTGTAGAGCATCTTCATTTATAGCATGAAGGTGTTCTACCACCCCCACCAGAAACTAAACTTTGAATTGACCACTAATGACTTTCTTTCAATGGTGGCTTTCTTCTGGCCACACTTGGGATTGCGACACTAATGGCTCACCTGTCAGTGGAGCCGTAGATCACTGCATCTCTATAAGAGTTACCTCTGGCTGCTTCTCTAATTAATGCTCCTCCTGCCTTGCTATTTGTTTAGGTGGACAGCCAATTCTTGAGAAGTGTGCAGTTGTGACAGAGTCACAACTCTGTCTGACAAACAGAATGCTCATTAGTGAGATGTTCAAAACTTGGCATATGGTTTATGACCTAAATCTGTTTTATTACTTTTCACAGCTTTATCCCTTTCCTGTGTTCTTTAGTCTTCTTGATTTCACAAACCTTCACAATAAACCATCACAATAAAGCTGCATCTTTATTAAGATTAAGACATAGAGAGAAGGATCATGTACCAATTAGGTGACTTCTAAGGTAAAATGGTAGAATTAACTTTTAGCTCTTAAGTTTTATGTAAGAGTTCCAGACTAAAAGAGGGTGAACACTCATAAGGCTGCACTTTTCTGATTCGCAAAGTTGCTCTTTGTCTACATGCAAAGCACTATCTGTGTGTTTGAAACAAAGAAGTTTCTACCCTTATCACACTGTGCACATGGTAATACATGACAGTGGCAGCATTATCCTCAGGGGAATTGTTTTGCAGAGGCAGAGAAGCTACTTTTTTATGTACTTAATATAAAATGTAAATAAAAGTGAATTAAATCTTTATGTGAATGTTACAAAATATTAATGATGTATGACTTCTTTTACAAGTAGTTTGTAGACCATGAAAAACTTGTAGCTATATGTAGACGTATTCTTGATGACTCTTGTACCAGTGGCCCTATGAGAATTGATCTTCAACCCCATATAAATATATAACATTGAGAAAGCTTTTTTGTTTAACTGTTTTAACTGTTAAGGGATTAGCCTGATGGTAGTCATTTAATCATTTATAAGTTAATTTACTTACTGTAAAGTCTTTTATATGCCCTTCCAACCAAGATCAAAGTATTTTTTTAAGACTTGAAGAATACAACAGTTTGGAAAAGCTAAGAGGTATCTGGTGAATAAGACTCATAATCTATTTGTAGCACTATGCAATAAAAGCATTTGGGTTGATAAAAAGCTGCTTAATGGGTCACTAGTGAATGTAGAACAAAGCTTTAACTCAAGAGACTTCGGCAGCTAGTGGAGCTCCAAAAAAAAAAAAATCTCCACTTTGTTTCTGTTCTTTGCCTTAGAAAAGGAATCCGGTTCATCCTCATAACTCTCTCTGCTCTGCCTCTGTCCAGCAGGCGTTACATCTGTGCTGTCAGTTTCTCATGAACCATAAATACGATGACACGCTAGATCCTCTGCTCTGAGCCTCTGTTCTTTCTCTCTTATCCTTCCTTTGTTCACCTGCACCATGTGCTTCTGTAGATTACAGCTGGCATTTGTCTATCGGATGCCCTCAGTGAATACTATAGGCATGACTGCGTGTCCCGAGCTGAAGCTAACTCTAGGTTAACCGATTGCTGACGTTAGTCAAGTCACTAAGGGATGCTAAGCCAGCTTGGCTTGCCATGTTGTCTTCCCATTTGTTTGCAAATCTTCGTCTCCAAGCCCAAGGTGTTGTGTGTCCTCACACACTCAGACAAGGAGTTTTGGGGGCTTCTCTTCCTGCTTTGGCTGAACATGAAGGAAAGGTGCTTTAATTGCCAGCAGCCATTTTAGGCGCCTTTTCCTACTCAGGTTTTGATTGCCGCCTCAAGGACTCAGGCAGTATTACTACGGTTATCTCACCATGCCATACACCTTATATCCCTTAGAATTTCTTCAGCTGTCTGTCATGCTTCTTAATTTCTATGAAAAGAAGATGAAAAGTAACTGAAAATTGTTATTTTAGGTCACAGAATTAAAGCAGACAGGTCACCATGATGCTTTTTATTTGAGTGAATCTATCTGACTTCATCAGTCTGTTAGTCATGGAGTAAGAAAGAGCTTCTCATCATGTTTATTTAGAAGTTTTATTATATCAGGCTAACAGCTGTTATTTTGACATGTACATACAAAAAAGCTAGATCTTTATATATGCTGTATAAAAATAAATCATCTTTTGCTTCCTTACTGTCTGACATTAATTTATGCTCAACCTTTTCTTTTGCTTCGTCAGATTGGATTACCCAAACTTTCTAGATACAAGAAAAAACAGAAATATTTATATTTTTTGGTGAAACTAAAATAACTGAGTTATCATGAGGACACCTCTAGTACTGCTCAGGGACACAGTATGTGAGCACCTTAACAGTACGTTAAATCCTCTGTCTTTTGCTTCAGCAGTATAATTATTTCAGTCTTTTTTCTGATCTACCTTTTATGATCACCAGCAGCAAACAATTCAATGTTTATTGCTGACATTGCTGATGTCAAGACAGGTGTCATTGTTAATCGAGAACGATCAGATCTGTTATTATTAGTACTGCTAGAAAAAGATAATAATTGCAAAAAGTTATTTGTACAGTTTAAGGCAAATCCTACTGAACAACAGGGTGATTTGCATCCACCACTTTTAACCTAAGCAATGTTGCTGTTGGCATATTTTTTGTTAGTGAGGTCTATTTTTTCTGGCAGGTCAAAAATTCTGAGTTTGATTTTACAAAGATGAAGAATGACCCTACAATCAAAATTATTTAAGAGCAGGGTTAATATTGCTGCTGCATGTTTAAAAAAGTGGATCTAACCGCATATTATTTATTGAATGGATGGAATAGAGAAAAAAAAACATGTATTGTAATCAGCTTGTAGAAAAGATGGTGGATAGCCTGTTTACTGAGCTCAACATTTAGCAAGACACACTGGTTTTCCAATTACAACTTGAATTTCGGTGTGTATACTATTTCTTTAACTTAGTTAAGGAATGTGTGTTTGTTTCGATCATTTCATTTTATTTTACAGACCCAGTAAATTGGGTTAGACTTGTTTAGTTCCAGATTTAGATACCCTTGCACGGTCAACTGAAAGAAATAGCATTCATCAGACCATAATTCCAACTGACATAATTAAGAGTCAAAATGCTTGTCAAGAGAGCAAGGGGGTGGGGGGGTGGGTCCATAACAGTAAATTCAGAGTATCAGATGTCATCTATGTAACCTTTGATATTTCTGTCGAGTTGTTTTGCATTTTGTTGGAGTCTGCTTTTTCACAAGAATTTCTTTATTCTTATTTTCTCTTCCTTGCCTCTCATCAGACTCTCATGGGATGGACCTGTTTGCTGTTGCAGTCCATGAGTTTGGTCATGCTATCGGTCTGGTTCACACCTCGGCCATGGAATCCATCATGAGGCCGTACTACCAGGGTCCTGTAGGGGACCCTCTGAAGTATGATCTACCCTATGAAGACAAAGTGCGTGTCTGGCAACTCTACGGTATGATGGAATTTACATTTGCTCACGTGTAACTAAATGTGTGAAAAGGTAATTAATTTTAAATACCTACACCTACATAAGTAGCAATTCACTGTGAAAGAAGGTGCACACTTATAGATATTTTAGTCCGGGCTGCTGTGTACTCGTAAAACATTAGATGGTTGAATAAATTCTATAATTACACAAAATAAAAGCATTTGAAAGAGGATTTTATTTACAAAGAAACACAATTATCAAATTAACCTGTCACCGGCATGAAAATACATCTTACTACCTTTCCAATTTAGAAATGAAGGACAATTAACTATTTTTCTTACCCAAGTTTATCTCACCAACCCCAGACCTCATGAATGCTGGACCTGTACAATAAGAAACTTCTAAAAAAAAAAAAAAATAGAACCTCCCTGATAATATAAAGGAGGCCAAAATATTTTAAAAAGATTTTGTTTCCAAAGCTAAAGAAATTCAATAAAAGAAGAGGAAGGAGTCATTCAAATAAATCAGCATGTAAACAAATGCCACAGGCTACAGTCAACCATAGTGAGTCATAATCCACAACTGGAGAAAAGAGGGAACAATAAGGAGTGATTGACCCGCCAAAATTACTGCAACAATTCACCCAGCAGGTCACAAACAACCCCGAACATCAGCTGAATCACTACAGACGTGGCTTTCTTCATTAATGTCAGTGCTTATTATATATAAATAAGATTGAGAAAAAGTGCAAGCTCCGGGAGAGATGTAAGGAGAAAACAACTGCTAACCATGAAGATCACAAGTGCAATTCTCAAATTTATTGAAGCACATTTTCATGATCCTCAAGACTTGGAAAGATAATCTATAGACTAACAAGACAAAGCTGGAATAATCTAAAACCAACATTCCAGGCGAGAAGCATCATGCTAACAATTAAAAGTGGTGGTAATGTGATCTAAGGCAGTTTTGCTTCTTAAGACTCTAGACAACCTACTCTAATTGATAGAACCATTAATTCTGCTATTCGTCATGTTTTTTTTATTTTATTTATCCTTTATTTAACCGGGTAATACCCATTGAGATTAAAAATCTGTTTTGCAAATGTTGTTTGGGTGTGTTAGGTAGATTATGTTTATGTTGAAAAAACTGCTGACTCAACCTGCTATTTTACAAGTGAATTTTTCATTTGCATAACTTGTTACATTTTAATATTTAAAAATACCAGAGTTTTACATTGCTGCATATTTTGGTTGGTCTCCTTACATAATTTTAAATAGTATACCAGATGTTATGATAATTAATTCACAGCTTGCGCAGGCTTTTTAACAAATGCTTGTTTTTCGTTTAGATGAGTAATTTCATGATTAGCTACTTTTTACATTAGTTTTATTCTTTACAATGAAATTATTCGGGTACTCTACCCACTTCTGAGCAGAATGGTCCACACAATGATTTAAAGCAAACCAAGTGGTCCACCTATAGATGATTCATAACACTCGAATTGTGCTGGAGTCGACAAGTTAAAATCTTGAATGATCATGAAATCGTGTCATGATCTCAAAAATATTGTTTACACTCATAAGCCCTCCATTCAAGCCAAATTAAACAACTCATTTTAAGGGTCGTTCACAATCTCCGTCATTCACCGCACTTTGGGTAGGAGGGGATTAAGATTTTTAAATGAGCTCATATTATTGAACATTTTACTGTTCTTGCTCATTGAAATCAAAGTTGAATCAGTTCTTTTATTTTATCATTCATTTATTTAGAACATGTTTTAATATAGTGAGTTTGGACCCTTAAAAAAAGTGGCCTAAAACGCATTCACAGCATCCTGAAAGACTCCTTCCCAAGTTTGATGCTTAAGCTGGGTTTCTGTCTTTTATTCTAAAAATATAATACACATATATATGGCAAATAAAAAGAAAATACTGAAGAAGCCAAAATGGAGGCATTATCTTTTTCACAGTATTGTAGCTGTGGTGGAAATCTTAACGATATGGAATTAAAATTCTGTACCGCTTCACCCCTTTTTACCTCAATAAGCCTTTGTCATTTTTATGACTAGCCGTATTTTCAGGTGCTTCCAAGAGTATGTTTTGTGGCCATATGATTAGTTCTCTGACCCATAAGTGCTTTCACACTATCTTCCTTTACTGGCCTTGACTTACAAGCCTCTGCAGTCATTATGCAGTCTATCAGATAAGAACACCTGTTTATGGGAGACTCAAGGTGCAGAGGCCTCATTGTGCAGGAAGCAGCCTTTGATGAGTTTTATAGAGCATGGATATTGATTTAATAAAAAACACGGAGGAAGTTAATTGGACCCTGTTATGGAATGTGACCTTATCATGCTCTGCTTGTACGCGGGAACCGTCAATGTGAGAAATAAAAAAGGAAACGATCAGCATTCAAAGTGTGTAACGCTGGCTTAAACGCTTAAGGAATGTGTCAGAAAATAAATTGAATTGAACAAAAGTGGAGTGGGTGGAAATTTATACATGAAGTGAGGATTACCAAGAGTTTACATTTTATAATGTTGTATTCATTCATCCCATCTTGCAGGCGTCAGAGACTCAGTTTCCCACACAAATCAACCAGGGGACCCCTCGCTCACACCTGAGCCTCCTGTCCTGCTTGATCTCCCTGAAAACAGGTCCACTGTTCTGTAAGTAAGCTTTAAAAAAAAACATAATTTTTCATATGCCATAAAAAAACAACCATCTTTACCATTTTAAAACTTATTCTAGCATTACCTTTCTCTTGGGGTAGAGCAGGTATTTCTAAACCTTTAGATATTCAATCTATAAATTCTTTTCACTGTCAGAGGAGTCCAGAAGACAGGATTGTCAATGAAAGTAATTTATGTGAAATTTTGGCATTTAAAAACAATACCAGTCATGGGTATATAATACTGGCTCAACATTCAAAAACCCAAACAAATCTCACAAAAAAAAAATGTTTGGAATTAATTAATTTTAAACTGTAGCATTGGCAGATCTATAGCTTAATCGTGTCTCTAACATAGAGGAGGTGATTATAAGCAGAGCATACATCTTTTTATTTATTTAAGGGTTTTGGCTTATATAGGCAAGAAAGAGGATTCTATGGTGGAGGATATGTCCAGCTGCTGTTTGAGTATTTTTGAATTGTGCGCATGCATCATTGCCCCTTTCTTCACAAAAGTTCTCTACGCTGGAAACGCCTCGGTCGGTAATTTTGTATTTCACCTACAGATGCAGCAAAGTGCCAGGATGCACCTAGTCAGCAGGAAATCTCCATAAATACAGTACTTAGTACAGAATTAAACAGAATTTTCCTGTCCAGCTGAAGTTTTGCGACAAAGCATCTGTTTTCAGACCGTTTTGCACCTTCAGGGCAAAGTTTCTCTGAAAATAATCTCCTAAACACACACTTCGCAGATTTCATTCTCTCCCACTTTCTCTCCTCTTTTCAACTACATTGGAAAAAGGCTTTCTTTTCCAGTTTGGTTTCTCAGGCTTCTTTTTGGCCATTGATGCTCCAATTTACACAAATTGGAGCAGCAGCAAACAAGTGCAAGAGTCCTTATTCATACTTCAGCGTAATGGCTTGACTGCTAGCCAAACAGCGTATAAGTTACGCTTGGAGCTTATGTAAATAACGTACTAGGGGCATGTGTGCAAAATGTTTGATTGACAAACAAGTTGCCAATCCACTTTCGACAGTAGGCAAAGTAGGTTGGCTAAAGTTTTGTAGGCCCCACCACGATCATAGGTTATAGATTTAAATTTATTTTGGGGGGGAAACTATAAGTGCAAGAATGCCAGCCGTCAATTAATTAATTTTAGATGAATCTGGACACTTTATTTCTGAGAAAAATCCTCTTTCATACCTTTAAACATGATCTGCAATTTACCAGGTTTAGTGTGAATGTTCATGGAACCAGAAGTGTAACGAAATACAAACACATTAGGTTTTACTCTATCTGTAATTAAGCATAGATGAAATCAGAATGAAAAATTTGGGCAAAAAAATTACTACAAAACCAAAATCTTAGCATAAAAAAAATACAAACCCTAGAATTTAAAGTCAGTTTACTTTACTAATATCTTAATTCTCTTGTATAGTTTTTTTTTTTTTAACACAGTAATAAAGTGTCAAACTTCATACTCCTAAACTGCTTCCACCTAAATCTCTTAAATCTTATGAAATTCTGACCCTTTGAAGGACTTCCCAAACACAAGCGTTTGCGTCTGGAACATCATATACAAATACAAACGGGTCAATTGGGAGGTAGTTAATTAAATACGTAAATGCTAATTCTTAGTGGTTTAACCATTAATTTCATTATTAGTTTTTCTAATTTCATCAAAGCATAATGAGTGGGAGAGCTGAATTTGGCCTGACAAGGGCACCAATCCGTCCACTCTGCAGTGATGTAGTTTTAATAGAGGTCTGAACAGAGACCCTTGTTGGTAATATAAGGCCTGGCGAGCTCCCACTCGCAGCCCTTTGGTGCTATTAGCTTCATCATTGGCAGGCAAGCCACGTTTGAGCTTTAAATCACTTAAAAACCTCGGGAAAAAATGCACCTAGGGATTCAGCTGGTTCTGCCTGATAGGTTTTCATTTTTTCGTTAACTATAGTATCACTTGTTCCTTTAGAGCCCTGTGATAGGGGATAGGAGAAAAACTCACGAGTGTCTAGAAAGTTTTACAAAATATGAGTGGAATAGTTGCTAAAAGCCAACAAAAAGAATCCTGTTTGTTCTGTGTAATGGTCTGGGGTAAAACTCTGAATTTTTACCCTAAATACCTCTGTTTGTCCTTTTACTACATTTCTCTTTCCTGCTTTCTACCAATGTCTCCCAGGCTGGCACGAGACGCCCCAGACAGATGCACAACTCACTTTGATGCTGTGGCCCAGATACGGGGGGAGGCCTTCTTTTTCAAAGGTACAGAAGCACAAAGGGAGGAATAACAATGCAGAGGGAATAGTACGAAATACAAAGATAAGTTATTGGAGAAACAGCAAAGTTAAAGTACATTATAAAGGGAAACGAATGAATATGACTAAGAGCGGAGGTAGTTGTACATGTCTGACTGAGGATTCTTAGCCGCTGACAGACTGTAATCCAAAGATTACGTCAGGCTCTTATGGCTGTTCTCTGGAGGACTGACCCTAAGATTCCCACTGACGACAGAAACAAGAGGCAGATTCAAACTTTCAGCAACGTAAGTGTCAGTGAAGTGTGCTGAATTGTAGTTCTTTTAAAAGACCCTTTTTCATCTCATGTATTAAGGCTGTCAGAACATCTCAATCTGTATGCATCATTGATGCTTACATTTTGTTTTAAGTGACAAGAAAAGCCACAACATTACTCTCCTTAGCTTCCATTGTCCTTTTAATTTTAATAGCTGAGATGCTCTTACAAATATATGGGAGACATATTTAAGACAATTCATACAGTCTGCAGTATTTTGGCTTTTGTTTGATGTAAGCATGTATTTAATGCATATTTTTTTCCAGGAGAGCTTCAAAATGTTTTCTTTTGTTTTTAGAATAAAAGAACATATGTTTTTACAGTGTCTTGCAAAAGTTTGCAAAATTAAATTCATTTCATTAGAGTTCTATGTGATAGACCCAGATGATTTGCTTATTCAATTATGAAAAGAAGATTAAGTTCAGATTGGATGGGCATGGTTTGTGAATGGCAATTTTTTAGGACCAGCAGTGTCTTTCGTTCCAGGGCAGCCAAGAGACATGGTCCCTTAAGCCTGTCCTGGGTTGTCCCATGGGCCTCCTCCCGGTGGGATGGGGCAGGGAGCATCTGATCAAGAAATGTGACCCCCCTCACCTGACTCCTCTTGATGTGGAGGAAAAGGGGCTCTACTCCGGGCTTCTGCTCTATGGCCGAGCTCCCCACCCACCTCTAAGGGAGTGCCCAGCCACCCTGCGGAGAAACCTACTCTTATACTCCTTTCCCCTTGGGCAAAAAAAACAGTTTAAACCTGGGAAAAATTGGCTTTTACTGTCAGTTTGAACCGCTCACTGACTCATGTCTACCTGGGTCAAGGGTGTTACCTGTGTTAAAATCACCTCAGCTCTGATCGGCACGCTGTGGGAACACCAGACCCAGGTTGACCATCTAAATTACGCAATGTATGGGCATACGCAGATTGAAAGCAGGTTAACCTGGTTTTTAAAAACCTGGGTTTTTAGTGAGAAAGCAGCTTTATTCGCTTGTATCTGCAATCTTGTTCTTCCATTCATGATCTGGATTTAATAACCAAATATGTGGGATAGACTGACCAGTAAAATTGAGAGCTTTGCCTTATGGCTCAGCTCTCTCTCCACCACAACAGACCAGTAAATCCTGCACAAAATAGCAGCAGCTGCACAAATCAGTCTATCAATTTCTCACTCCATTCTCCCTGCAATTGGTAACAGGACCCCAAGAAACTTAAACTCCTTCACTTGCATCAGGAACTATCCTTTAATGTTAAAACTGAAGAGGGTACTTTTATTTTTGCTTAATAACCATTGCCATTGAACAGCAGGAGCTGATCTTCATCCCAGCTTATTTGCACTCTGCTGCAAACCACCCAGCTAATGGCTTAGGTCTTGGCAGGAGTCTGCCAGCAGAACCACGTCACCGACGGGTCCACAAACCAGACCTCCCCCTGCCCTTGACTGCTCATATATTTAAAATAACCTTTAAAATCAATTAGTTTGTTTTTTTTTTGAACATCTTTGCTGCTCCCCGCCTTTCGCCCGCAGACAGCTGGGGATAGGCACCAGCACCCCTCGTGACCCCAGCTGGGATAAAGCATAACGAAAAATGACTGGATGAATCTTTATTGCTTCTCTTATGAAGTTTTTCCTGAAGTTTTTTGCTGACCATTGACAGAAAATAAAAAACTCAATGCACATGAATGCTTTTGGAACCTACTGTGTGGTCAGCTGATCATTATTAGAAATGTCATCAATAGAGACTGTATTACTATTGCAGTTTTATTGCAAGTAATCTGTATTTAGGTCTGAGAGAGAAATGGACATTATCACAGCAAAGTTTTCTGTGTCCTTTTCAGGAAAGTACTTCTGGCGACTAACAAGGGAAAAGCATCTGGTGTCTCTACGTCCTGCACAGATCCATCGCTTCTGGAGGGGGCTTCCAACCAACCTGGACAGTGTGGATGCTGTGTATGAGAGGCCAGGGGACCACAAAATTGTCTTTTTCAAAGGTACATTTTCAAGATACGTATTAGTCTTGTTTTTGGACAAGTAGGTTAATTAATTTGTGATCAATGCAACTATAGAATGCATCTGATATTTGAAGGCTGTCATATTATTGACGTCTCTCTAATTTCCTCACTTCATGTTTCACATTCATTTTAGGAACTTTATTGTTTAGTTGCTTATATTATTGCGATGTAATTGCTCGTTCTAGAGTAATTCAGTTACATTAGATCCTTTTTCACTTTGGTTCTTTTTTTCTTATGAGTAGCAGTTATTACTAAACAGCTGTTATTCCTGCTGTTGATGATAACGTTCTTACATGCTTTGAAATAAATATGCTGCTAGTCTCAAGATTTTGACATCTTTCTGTACCCCTTGACCAAGTTTGTCACAGTTCCAGTTGTTTTAAACCTTTAAAATATGAATAATAATTGCTTAGACTATGTTTTTTGTCTTTCTTATTTTGTGTAAATATAAGAATGAAAGTGTAAGCTACATTTATATTACTGAATAAAAGACACTTTTTAGACAATCAGATCCACATGATATATAATATTAAATTTTACCTGATGTATTGAGGTCCTAGTGCTCTTATTCATTAAGGATGATTTACCACCACTTACTATCTACTTCAATTTAAGGATTTTTCCTACCATTTTTCATTTGATGCTACTCCACAGAATTAGTGATGTCAATACATTATTAAACTACTAAAATGTGGGAGAAAACAGGTGAAGACCGTAACCCTAATCTTCTGTTTTTGTTGTCTTTAGGGTTGAAATACTGGGTGTTTAAAGACAATATTGTAGAGGAGGGTTACCCACGCCCAATCAGTGACTTCGGCCTGCCTATGGAGGGTGTGGACGCAGCTTTCGTTTGGCTTCACAATGAAAAAACCTACTTCTTTAAAGACAAAGAGTACTGGCGTTATGATGACCACCTAAGACGCATGGACCTGGGCTACCCAAAAGAAAGCACCCTCTGGAAAGGGTTGCCATCACAACTTGATGATGTCATGAGGTGGTCTGATGGTGAGTAACATTGGATGCCGATAGATAGATTGTTTTGTTTCAGTTTCTTAACATCTGCAACCAGTAGCCACTTTAAAATCTTCAATGATAAGCTTCTCAACTGTTATTTAAAAGTCTGTTTAAAAATAAATCAAGAAAATATGAGTTTCAAACCACTGTTTGTGATAGGAACACAGCTCTCATTAGAATAAGCCGCTCCTCAGGATATTTTTAGCATTTATGCACTTTTATTTACCTTAATTTCGATTTACATGAGTCCTTGGAAAAGCTGCGGTTTGCAGATTAGATGTGTTTGTTTATTGAGTTCTGCTGTTTGTAAAGTGTGTCAAAAGAGTTTATTTTTCCATCAATTTGTGTTTTTTCTCTGCCAACACTCTGCTTCACATTTCCAGAGTCAAACATTTTCAAACCTTGGAGCTGGCCCAATATAATCAGAATGTGCAGCTCCACTGTACCAAGGTCACAATGACTGCCTCCATCAGAGCATGATACTTACAGTTATCTGACCCCAGGAAAATAAGAACTGTAAAATGGTTCAGAACATTTTTACCTAGAATTGGGACCCGTTTTATCCTGTTTATAGGTTTATAGGTTGATATTTTGGGATCTGGGATGTGCTCATAATGTGGTGTGATCTAAAACAACCTCCAAAAATACCAGCTAATGAGATTTTTTATTTCCCAGGTCACACATCTACATTTGAGGTTAACCTGTCCATAGGACATGTGCATACAACGAAGCCCTTTTCCTGTAAGGTGTTTAGTGGGCTGTGATCTCTGGACTGACCTTGTGTGTTCTGAGGTCTCATATGAATGTAACAGTTTGTTAGTGAAAAAGAGACGGAGAGAAGTCCAGTCAGTTGCACAGCTGTCATTACCGCGTCCAGAGTCTGGAGGGTAAACCTGCATGCATAAATGCAAATCGACAGATCATGAGGCTTTGGAACTGGAGCCACATCAAAGCTTTTTGTCGGTTTGTTTCTCCATATCTTGATGTAAAGAGAGAAAAATGAGTAATAAAAATGAGAGAAAGGAGAAAGATCGAGAAGCAGAGAAGGAGATGAAATAGCATTCTTATTGATAAAATAAAAGAATGCTGGTATGAAAAGCTGAACAGTAGTTTAATCTTTATACACTTCAACGAAACCCTGAAAGCAATGGGCAGAAAAGAAGGTATTAGGAGGAGAGATTGTCTTCACTAAGACAGCAAATATCTCATAGGAGCAGATTAAAGCAAAGTTTATTATTTTTTGTGCTTTGCATATAGCATTAGATGCAATCACTCATTTGTTTTTCAGAGTGTAAAATCCAGTGGTGGCTTGATTTACAGAAGTTAGGGGCTGCTGGGGTGTATTCGTTCAATGTGGAGAGACATCAACAGGAAATCCAGAAAAAATAATTCTTTTAAATTTTAAACTGGGGGGGGGGGGGCTTTTCGATTAATCAATTCACTGTCCCATTTTTTTTATATTATTATTTATTATATATCAACATCGTCATCAGGCCACCGCCTCCTAAAGGAACACGACTGCATTTATTCACCTCTTGCTAAACTTCTGAAAAGACTTTGATTAGCAAACCTGATCTTAATTTTCTCCACATAAGTTTAAAAGGAAAAGAAAAACAGTTCTATTTTCCATAGGAGAAAGAAGCTATGTAATTCATCTATGTAGTGTACCTACTTTTTGATTATGTGTTTATAGATTATTTTAAAAGCTTTATTTTGTTGTGTTTGAAGAGTAAAAATAGAGCAGAATAGAGTCAATCAAAGAAAACGTTTGCCAAATCTAACCATTGGTTTGATTGGTGGGTCTCATCTTGTTTGAATTAATGGATAGATTAATGAAATCTTAAGATCATAACTGATCTGTAAGAGTCAGGATTGTGGTATCAAATATCTGTTTTCCTTAAATGTATTTTTTCTTTAGAATTTTTATTTAATACTTCTGAATTAGGATAAACCTACTTCTAAGTCTTAATGTTTTTTTCTCAGAAGCAAATATTATTACCTTTAATGCAGAAGCATAATTTTAAGTTCATCCGTTTGCATAAACTAACACAGCAAGCTAAGTTAAATATTTATTGATGGCGCACAAAAAAAAGTCAAATAAAAGAATTAAAGTTCTTCCTTTCAGCTTGCATAAACATTCCAACATCTGCAGGACGTTAGCTGTCATTCCGGTATGATTCTCCCCATCCCTCTCTTCAAATGTGGATCGTTTGTTGAAACTACTGCTTGGATTATTGATGTGATGCTGACTGCCACTGACTTTCTTTGCTGTTGTTTTTATAATGACAGTGATTTCAACACAGTTTGTGCCATTAATTGTTCCATTATTCTCTGTGAGGCTGTGCTGAAAAAGATTGGGCTTGTTTTGGCGATTTTTGTAAAAGCAGTAAAAATCTGTTTTTCAAAAGCAGGTAGAAAAGTCAAAAAAGAAAACATCTAATTTAGTAAATATTTATACTGTCATCTAAGTGTGAAGAATTATCCTTGTCATTATCAGGAATTGCAGTGATTAAAAAAAAAAAAAAAACTTTTGATTTTGGATTCTACTTCTAAGAATGACAGATGTGAAATATAAAAAAATTATTTTTGAGTTTAAATGCTTTAGAATCATCTGTGCATTGGTGTTTTGCTTTGATATGGTGGAATATATGTATATAGAAATCTAACTCATGTATTCCATGAAAAATATTTATATTTTTTATCATTTATTGTCAATATTAGAGGCTACTTCTAAACTTAGTTGAAGTTGTTTTAGGTACTTTGAGAGGATTAAAACACTATTGTTACTTATAAAGACTGGTATTAGTTTAATACCTGTAACCTTGCTGTTTTCTTAGTTTAATGCTTTGTTATTAAAAACAGATATTCCACTGTTGTGATTTTGCAAGACTAAAAAATATAAGAACATTTATGTAAAATTAAGATTTTAGGAAGAGAAAAATTAAAAGGATACACAAATTAAATAATCTTTTTGAAAATGAGATAGAACGCTGTTTTTTTTATTATATACTGACATCCAATATTTTATAGACAGCCAGGAGTTACAACTTGTTTATAAGGAAGAGAGAGATCAATTACAATTAAGGGGACAGTAGTCTTTATTAAGTTTATCAGAATAAAGGGACGAGCTGCTGATCAATAGAAGCTCAGTTTTCACAAGGACAATGCTTTGAGAAGCTGCCAAAAGGCTATTATTTTTTTAGTAGAATCAATGTTAATTGAGTGCTACTATAAATTCAGAAGATGATAATACGTTTGAGCAAAGGCAGCGATGTATTCAGCTTAGTTTAAATGATTAAGAAGTAATCAGATGAATGAATGAATGAATCATTCATTAAAAGTTGTCTTAGCTTTAAAGTGTAACTGTTCTCTCTAATAAAAGGGGGTAATGTGTCTGAAATGGATCGTTCTGAAGCAGAAAAGCTGCTGTTAAGAATATTACATCTGACAGTTATATAGGCCATCCAGCAAGACTTCAGTTTTAGTTACAGTGAAAAAGGGTGAAGTACATCCAAGAGTTTGATGTTCTCAGTAGAGAACTATTGAATAATTCTGCCACCAGTGCAGAGCTTGCTCAGGGCAAGGCAGGGTGACTGATATAGAGCACTTCAGTACCACAATTAAAAGTGCTGTATATAACGAGCAAAAGAAAAGTATATTGCAGTGGCATAAAATAAACACAAATAATTAAAAGGAATACAATTGAATGGTTAGAATAAATTTATTATTTTCAAAAGCATAAAATAGATTAAACAAAATAAAGAAAAGTTGGACCGAAAATGTGCATTTTTAGTTACAAAGGCCACTCTAAACAAATATGCTTAATTCCCTATTTAAAGGTTTCAGCACTCCCACATGTTGTTGCGTTAAACTGAGGTGCAGTGAAACACACTGAAATGTGTTATGTCCCGATGCCTTCCTGTTGTGCTTTTTTCCTCCAGCTCCAAAACATAGCATTGCACCACAGTCAGATTTAGGCATACAATGAAAAAAAATCTTATATGGCATGAATAACTGCAGAATCAGGCAATGAATATGTGTAATTGAGTTTTTAAAAGGAATGCTCCATGTTTAAGGAGCATTACAGTTTCCTACTGATACTGCCACCTGTGGTTACAACACCGAACTGCAGCTGTCTTCTCCTTGTTCTCATATCTCTCACTTCTATTTGTCAAGGTTTCATTTATTTTATTACTTTTACTTTTTTCACCTTACTTTGAGTTGCCATTGGTGTCTAAGTTGAGCTGGTTGCCGGTCACTTCTGAGTATCCACAAGATCCATCTTGAATATAACGATTTGATTGTTTGCTAGGTTGTAACCATTCAACAAGGAATTAGGTTAGGAATTAAATTACATTGAAGTTAAGACTTCAAACAGCTAATTTCTCCTTCCTCTTCAAATTGAGACTCAATAGGAACCAGAATTGATGAGAGGAACCGGGATTGTTCAATTTCCAACTATGCCCAGCTCAAGTTAACACCAAATATAGATTCTTCAAAATAAATGTGTCTAATTAGAATATAAGAGCCTAACTCATGATTTTTTTCACAAACCTTTTTCATAGTGCCGGGACTGTAATGCGATTAAATAACATTTTAACTTGTTTAAAAAAAATCTATGCAATTATTTGCATTTCCCAAGCGGAAAACCTTTCCACTTGCTGTTTCTTGTACACGTAAGAACCAGAGACAGAACAAAAGAAGCATCACAGGTGTTGGTCCACTGAGGGTATTCAAGCTTAAAATCCACAGCTCGAACCGAATACCTTTAAATCTGTATGGACAACTAAGCTACGGCCTTATTGTGTTTGCAGTCGCCTTAATAAGTGCCATCCATATATGTCTTAATATTTGTGCCACCGACCTGTGCGCACACTTACAGTCTGAGCACACAGTGAGACAGATGTGCAGCGCTTAAACTCCCAGCACCTCGCTCCAAACCTGTCTGCCGTGCGCTCAACTCTGACGACCTCTGCTCCATCACCTCTGCT